ATGACCACAGTTGCGTACAGGAACAACAAAGGGAGAACAAGGAGTGTAGCTCTAAATGCAGAAGCAATGGAGACAATAGAATGGACAGACAAGACATCACCTTCCCTAAAGGCAATACCCATAAAAGGAAAGTTGAACCAAAAAGCAGATTGGCTCAGTAGACACAAAGTCAACTACTCTGAATGATGCCTGAACCAGGAAGTCTTCACTCTGATCTCGCATATGTTTGGTCTCCCCTAATTTGACCTGTTTGACAATTACAGCAATGCAAAATGGCAGAAATTCTTCACCTGAGAAGCAAACCCTAAGTCCATGGGACAGATGCTCTGTCGCAGAGATGGCCACAAGGCCTGCAAAATGCATTCCTACCCTTCTCTCTCCTAGGGAAGGTGTTCCAAAAGGTAAGGTGAGAAGGGTGACAGCCCTAACTCTTTACCAACCAAGGAGACCCTGGTTTTCTGATCTGATAGAACTGAGGCTGTAGCCACCATTCCAGCTTTAGACAAGACCAGACCTCTTTTTTCCAAGGCTCATTTCTCCATCCAGACCCAGGTCACCTTTAACTGACAGCCTGGCTATTGAAAGAGAAGTGTTAGCCACACTCGGCCTATCTTCCAAAGTAATCAGGACTCTGCTCTCATTCAGGAGAGTTTTTCCACACAGTAAACCTACTTGTCCATGTAGATCAAGTTCAGTTTGTTGTGCCAAGAGTGCAGCACATATCCAAGAGATCCTGGGATTCCAGCCTCTTACGACTTCCTTCAGAAAGGTGCAGATAAGGGCCTTTTGCCCAGCAGGGTAGTTCACCAGGTATCAGCCATAAGTCGTGTACTATTAGTAGGATCCTCAGGCTCCTTGGCAGAACCCTCAGGTATCCAGATTTTTTAGAGCAATCAGACTGCCCAGACCAGCGGTCGGACCAATCTTCCCTCAGTTGGACCTACCACTGGTGTTGAAAGCCCTAACCGTACATCCCTTTGAGCCTCTGATTTCCTTCACTCTGCCCATGGGCAGAGCACCTGACTGTGAAGCAGTGGCACACCCCAGATGGCAGAAGCACACTAAAGACATATATCAAGTGTAAAGAATCCACAAGGAGATGGGTCTCCCTGTTCATTTCCTTTCATCCCCAGGTGCCAAGGGCTTAGAGTATCCAAGCTATCCATTACTAGATGGATTGGACTATGCATCGCTGAGGCACACAAGCCATCCAACAGCCCTGGTCCTAAAGGAATCAAGGTGCATTCTTCAGAATCCTTGGCAACCTCATGGGCCAAAAGAGCATGTGCCCCCATGAGATCTGCAGAGCAGTCACATAGCTAGTGCCTCTGTCAGGCACTATAAGGTAGTCTTTCTGTCTCTGTCGAGGCCTTCTTTGGCAGGAAAGTGCTGCAGGCAGTGGTCCAGACCTAACCTTGCCATTCAAGCAGTTCAAAAAGATTTTTTTTTCCTATTTCTTATGTTCACTTTTCTGTCCCTCCCTAATCTTGTTCACTGTTTGCTACTTCCCATGCATATCAGAATTGCGGGGGATGCTGGGCTGCAGAATGAAAGATTTTCTTACCCAGTAATTTCCTTTCTGCTATTAGGTTCTCCCACAATTCTACCCACCCTGGACGGCTTCACAGCCCAGGCTCAGCATTCTGTTTGGATAGTTACCAAGAGGCAGTGGCCTACTGCACATAATTAATTAGTTGGCACTGAAGTTAGTGTTACAAATAATTTTCTAAGAGCTGTTTCACAGCTTAGAAATGCATCATCTGATAGCAAGCAGAAGGGGGTGCGGTTAGCACCACAGTTGCCAACTTTCACGTGGTAAATAAGCACCCCAACTTTCACAATAAGCCAAAAATCAAGCTAATCCCATTTCAAAACAAGGCCAAACAAGCCAATCCCTAAGAACCCCAACACTCTATGTGATTAGATCCTCCCGGCGTGCAGTCTGGGACTGTGGTGGGCCTGCTGTCCACCCCGACTCTCTTCCCCTCTTACCCCTGCATGCCCCTTGCCCCTGCTTGCTGGGAGTTGGTCAAAGAAAAGAAGCAACAAGCTACAACAAGCTACAAGCCAAACAAGCAACAAGTTACAAGCCAAAAACTATCCAACAGGCAACTCACAAGCCAATTAAGCCAAAAATAAGCCCAATTTCTGTGTTTTTTTCCATGGGTTTGGCATGTATGGCTAGCACAGGCTCTGCTGCAGCTTTGAACTGCCTCTGGAAATGGCAGACAGGAAGGGAATAAACCATACATATCAGAATTCTGGGAGACATTCCCAGCAGAAAGTAGATTATCAAGTAAGAAATTTTCTGTTTGTTCCCTAGCTTTCAGCCAGGAAGCTGAAACATAAAGTCCCTTTTATAGTGACTAGTAATAAAGCTGCTTGGTAAACAGACTATCTCCAATTGCTGCAGGATAAGAGTGCTGGTGATTATCCCAAACCCCAACTTCTTACTGATGCTGCTGCTTGAAGAAAGGAAGGAAGAGAATTTAAAAGGGTAAAAGCTACCCCTTTTAACCCGAGGGCCTAACCAAAAATTCAGGGCGGTTCCAGTTAGGAGGAGAAATTGGCGATAGAGATTTCTTTGATGCAGTTTTGTTTATTTGCAAAGAATGCACAAACTTCTGTGTCTTTGAACGCAGAAGGAATCAAATAGCAGGAAACAGTTAATTTTTCTCACAGCACTGAGAACACTTTTTCCATCCTGTACCCCAACCCATAAACCTCTCCTCAGATTTCTTCCAGGGTCAGCCACCGTGCTTTCAGCTGCTCCTTCAAGCTGTCTTTTTCATTTTGTTGTATATTTTGCCTTTCCATGAACACACACATACACACACCTCCACCTAAAACAATACTCTGCAAATACTCCTGGGCAGGGTCACACACTCCTTTTATCTTTGTGGGGGGGGAGGAAGGAGCGGGGCATATTCTTACAGTTATGTTAAATGAAGGGTGAGTTCACACCTACCAACCTCAATGAGGTTTTCACTCAACCCAAAACAATATTTCACTGAGCTCATAACCACTATGAAGAAGGTGGCAAATGCCATAATTTTTGAAGCCATGCACCCAGGCTCTAAAAAAAAAAAAATAGGCCAATGAAAAAGGTTATCCTAAAGTCACCCCCAAATCCTTGGTCTCCTGCTTAGCTAAAAGGTTATTAAAATAATGGTACTGTGCATTTCCACCCAGAGTTCTGGATGATTTAGTTGGTGTTGGTCCTGCTTTGAGGGTGTTGGACTAGATGACCTCCTGAGGTCTCTTCCAACCCTAATCTTCTATGAGTCTATGATTCTCAAAGCATTTAATAAGCATTAATGAATGAAGCCTCAAGCACCTGTATGATGTATAGAAAAGTGATAATCCTATTATATAGAATTATACTAATTGTGAAACTGATGCACAGAAAAGCCAGGTGGCTTCCACAGGTCACACAGCAAGAACCTCATGCTCCTGACCAGTGTTCCCTTTAATTTTTTTTCTGCCTGCAGAATGACAGGCTAACTAAGTGTAAGTTTAAAGCTTTTGAGTGCAGCCCCTTCATCTCCCCCATTCACATGGTCTCTCAACTCTGCTTTCCTCATTTGTCTTCATTCACTGCTTCCCACTCTCCCCACTTACTCCCTCTCTCTCCCTTAAACTCAATCCAACTACTCTCACTTATGTAATCCACAAAGCTTCCGGGTGTGGGGTTCTATCCCAGCTAGTGGAACTGAGACTTAGAGATTAATGAGTCTGCTCTACAGCCTTAACTAACAGCCAGTTGGCTTTTAGCTCATATGATAGAGGCTCATAGACTAAGCTCCAGAGGCCCAGGTTCAATCCCGACAAATGGGGTCTATTGGTGTTACACTTGCTCTCTTTCTCTTTACTCTGCTCTTTCCCACTGGTGCTCTCCTCATTCACTATTTCCCATTTATTTACTCCCTCTCACTCATTCACTCATCTCTTCTTTTGTCTGTCTCTCATTGTCTCTCTCTCCATCCAAGTTGCTTTCCCCATTCTCTCTCCCTTTTCATTCCCATCCTCCCTCATCTCACCCCCTTTCTCCTTCTCTCTTCCTTCCTCCCTTTCATCCTTCAAAGTCAGTAACTGCTGCAGCCATCCCTTGCCCCCCACACCACCCCAAAATCAAATAGCACCACTACCTCCCCATCACTTATTTGTGGAACTCTTTCTGCTGCTAATGTTTCTGCTACTCTCCTGGGCACCATCAGACCTGAGATATAGGGAAGGGACCTGAGTTCTTCACTCCTGCTCAAACCTAGAGTGAGTGTTGCCTTCAAAATCTCCCCTTGCCACCCTCAGGCCTGAGGAGGGGGAAGTCAAGTCTGAATTTTTAAGTCCCTCTCCTGCCTGTCAGGAGCAGCAGCACTAGCAGACTCAGAAGAGGGAATCCCAGAACCCCCTCCTCTCATCCAGAAGTTAGATGCCTCCTGGTAAAGAATTACCCCTGAAGAAGACACTTATCAATGTGTGGTGCCTACCAAGAGAGAGAGTGCAGCCACACGTGCACCTTTCAAGGAGTCTTGCTCCTGAATCTCATTCCTGTGTTTTAACAACCAGACTATCCCTAAATTGGCTAACAGAAAGAAAGAATTGGATTGTGACCATGTGTAAGTGAACATAATTATACTCCAGGATGCCTAACAGTCAACAAAAATCATTTTGTCACGAACACTGTTAGTATTTTATCCAATATTGTATATTATATAAACTATACAGTGATTTCCAAGTGTTATCTTCCCAATTAGCATGATGCAGCATTCAACTTTGCATTATAAATTCTGGTAACTGGCAACAATCGTGTGTCCCAGAAATAGAGGCAACCAGAAATATTAGCTACAGTGGTGTTGCAAGAATACAGTCAGGAAGATAACATGTCACCACTTGTATTGTCCTCCAAAAAGATTAAATGAGCACATATGGTTCTTCTAGTAACTGTGTACACCAGGGATATTGACAGCAGCTGTGCCTAATCACTTTGAATGTTATTGCAGCTGTTACCTGCCCAACTCCTCCCCAGATCTCTAATGGAAGGTTGGAAGGAACAAATTTTGACTGGGGATTTAGTATTAGCTATGTCTGCTCCCCAGGCTATGAACTATCCTTTCCTGCTGTTTTGACCTGTGTTGGGAATGGAACTTGGAGTGGCGAGGTACCTCAGTGCTTACGTAAGTATTTGTTTGAATCTTATATTTTATCCTAATTATTTTTCCTCGCTCACCTCTCGCTTCTCGGTCACTTTTCGGCCACTTGTCGCATGTTCTTCAGTTGCTCGTCAGGTTTCTTTGGAAAATAAAAACACTTGTACTTACACTAGTGAAAGGAGGAATCCCAGAACCTCCATTCTGCTACAAATTTAGGGTGTTTTATATGCACATTTTTCCATCCCAGAGAAATATAAGGCTCCTATGAATTACCATGTCTCATTTCCTTAGTTACCCATGTGAAAGTGGGCATCCAACAATAGCATGTTGCTGGGGAAAGGCTTGTGAAAAATTTCAAATGAATGACAGAGTTTCCACATGAACTTTTTCTGTACAAATTATCTAGCTCCCAATAATACCAGTTCCTTGTGAGAGAATTAAAGATTTTTTTCCCCTGAGAATTTGAGACTTTACTCATCAAATAACCACTCAGAAGAAACATTTAGACCTCAGTGTGCAAAAAGGCTAAAAAAATGTATGTAGATCTCAACAAACTATAATCCCAGCGTGGCATATGTTTACTAGAGAACATACAGTTTACACCAGAAAGTAGTCATATTGAAGCCAATCAGACTAATCACAGTAGTAAGTACTATGTTCAGTTATTGGTGTTTACAGGATCAGGCCCTTACAGAGTCTAAAGTTTTCTCTTAGTAACAATTTTGCAGCAGAATCTATGCTGCCAGTTCCATGATGTAGTATGAATTTCCAAATTGTCGTAGATTAAGACCCCTGTCTTGCAAACAGATCTCTGTATGTGGAGCCTCTCTGCAACCAGTGAGGTTATATCAGAGAATGTGGAGTTTGGGAGCATTGCTGATCAGATCACTGGTCCATGAAACTCAGTATCCTGCTTCTGATAATGGCCAATACCTAGTACTGCAGGGAGAGGCCAAAAAACTCACCCAGCATGCATCCAGCCAGTTATTCAATGCTATGCCATCGACAGAAGAAAATCCTTGCAGGTGATAAGCTAAAAGCCTTAAGACTCTGATTTAGAATATCTTATTATTGGCAGATATACATATTATATTTAATAAATGTCTATTAATGTTTGACTTTCAGATTCCTGCTTAAACTGCTTTCCATGTTTAATGTAGTTACTGTAATTTTATTGTAGTTCTAGTTAGCCACACTAACTTTCTAGTGATCTCACTCCATACCCAAGTTTTCAATTGTAGTTAAGTAAGATGAAGTAAGAAGCTGCCGCTCCTAAAATCTGTTTCTCTTTGGACAACTTCTTTTGCTCCCTCCAAGAGCATGGAAGACCCTATAAGTAACAGGCGTTATGAGGTTCTGTTGTGCGGGCAGAGGACTGTCATACTCTGCAGTTGTTTTCTGCGGGGCACCTTGTATGCTGATGTAATATAGGATTTGGGGATAGAGTAGAGCTGTGGATGTGGAAGGTTTTGTAGCTGGTGGAATCACCAGACACACAGTACATCTCCAAGCTGTTTCCTCTGCCTCTCTCAGAGGGATTCTAATCAGCCACCAAAGCTCGTTCAACCATTAGACTGCAGTCAGTACTAGCAAAGATTGGCTATGTGACCTCTCCATCATGTTGGGCAGATTCCATTCTTTCCTCGCTCCCACAAAACTCCCATTTATTTGGCTATGTATAAGAGCCAGACATGAGATTTGGAGTAACTGTTCAGCTAAGCTCAGGTACTTTAGTGTAAGTCTTATTTTAATACCTTTTAGCAAATGCTGAATCCTTTCTATATGTCACATCATTTTCCATAGCAAAGTTTTGTGGTGATCCTGGAGTACCTGCTCAAGGGAAAAGAGAAGGCAAGAGCTTCATCTACCAGTCAGAAGTCTCTTTTAGCTGCAATCCTCCATTTGTTTTGGTTGGGTCCAGTACTAGGATATGCCAAGCAGATGGAACTTGGAGTGGTTCTTCTCCTCGATGTATAGGTAAGATGAGATCCGTGTTACTGAGGTCTATTGGATTCTGCTCTTTGGTTCTCCCACTGCTAATCCTGTCAGTTTGCGTTTGAGAACTTTGATTTATTGTGTTGTATTATTCTACGCTGTCTGTGAAATATGAACATTTTAATCATGATGCTTCTTCTGATCCTGTTCTCCACATGGTTAAATTAAATATATTTGTTGACACACAGATTTTTTTCACTAAAAAAATACCTTATGTTGTGTTTATTTTAATTTTTTTAGAACCCACTCGCACATCATGTGAAAACCCTGGAATCCCACGGCATGGATCACAAAACAATACATTTGGCTACCAGGTAGGGTGTGTTAAGTTGTTTTTATAGTACACAATAGTTCAGAAGTTCTCAGACTATGATCCAGGAACCACTGGTGATTAAAGACCTTGCCTATGGTCTGTTAAGAATGAGATGCTCATATGGTGTTGGTTATCCTTATTTCCAGCTTCTGATTTGCATTAAAATCAGCCACAACCCCTTTAAATACCTTTCCAGTACTAAATTCTATGCAAACAATTGTTATAGTTGCCAAACAGATGTTATGTGATCATAAATGGGAGGGAAAGTGTTCCACATACTCTGGAATTGGAAGGCAGGTAGTCTATGGGTTAATCCCTGTATTAAAATGTGGTCTACGTGATGAAACATTTGGAAGCCCATATACTCCATTTGACACACTGTGATTTGGACCCTGCAGTGCTAGTGTGTACGTTGATTTTGGCAGGAGAGGTCATTTTCTTAATAAAAAAAATAAAAGCAATATCCAAGTTATTCATCTATCCAAGGTCTACACTGGCAAGTTTCTGTGCAGTAAAGCAGCTTTCTGCGGTGTAACTCCTGAGGTGTGCACACTGCCAAGCCACTTAGTGCGCAGAAACTGTGCAGTTGTAGCGCTGTAAAAAAAACACCCCGACAAGAGGCGTACAGCTTTCTGTGCCAGGGCTATAGCACCGTGGTACCAGTGTAGACACCCTGGTCGATTACAGCGCTACAATTGGCCTCCAGAAGGTGTCCTACAATGCCTGTTCTTGCCTCTCTGGTCATCACTTTGAACTCAACTGTGAGCCCCATCCCTTAAATTCCTTGGGAATTTTGAAAGTCCCTTTCCTGTTTTCTCGGTGACACGTGCAGTGGTTTCAGCGCAATCTTTCCAGGTGACCATGCCTGCTCCAAGCACCAGGCGATCCCTTGCTTGGAGCAATGCCTAGTTGCTGGACCTCATCAGCATTTGGGGAGAGGAAGCTGTCCAGTCCCAGCTGTGCTCCAGCCGTAGGCATTATGATACCTACGGACAGATTTCACGATGCATGACAGAAAGGGGCCATGCCTGGGACACAATGCACTGCAAGGTCAAAGTGAACGCCTGCAGAATGCCTACCACAAGGTGCGGGCAGCAAACCACCACTCCAGTGCTGCACCCACGAGCTGCTGGTTCTACAAAGAGCTGGACGCGATACTCGGTGGTGACCCCACCTCCACTGCGAAGGCCACTGTGGATACTTCAGTGGCTCACGTACCAATCGAGAGTGGACCGAGCCAGGAGGAGGAAATGTTGGACAAGAATGTGGAGAGAGAGGGTCACCCAGAGGCAGAGGATGACTTGGAGATCAGAGATGCATGCAGCTAGGAGCTCTTCTCTATCTCGGAGGAGGCTAGCCAGTCACAGCAGTCGGATCTTGGCGAAGTGTGAAAAGGAGAGGAGGCCCCTGGTAAGTGGCTTTGATTTTGAGAATCACTGAAGCGAGTTGTTGAGGGCAGGAGGGTTGCAGAAAGCAGGCTTGTGACTGTATGATGTGTATACTACCACATGCGGTGGAACAGGGTGTTTAATGGCCCTGCACACTTCCGTCAACACGAGTTCAACAGTCAACTTTCCCACTCTGAACTGGTTAGCGAACGATTGGTAGCAGTCTGAAGTAGCCAGCTTCCACCGTGCAATCGCCATGCGCTTCTCCAACAACAGGGCAGCTCTCATGCTCATGTTCTTGTGCCACAGGGCTAGGGGGAGCTCATCACACAGTCCCATGAATGTGGCTTTCCTCATCCGAAAGTTCTGCAGCCACTGCTCATCATCCCAGATGTGCATGACGATGTGATCCAACCACTCAGTGCTTGTTTCCTGAGCCCAAAAGTGGCGTTCCACTGTGGTCAACACCTCCATGAATGCCACAAGCAATCTTGTGTCATAGGTACTATGTGTGGCGAGATCAATGTCAAACTCCTCTTGCCTTTGTAGTTTAAGGAGTAACTCCACTGCCCCTTGTGATGTGTTAGTGAGAGCAAGGAGCATATTGGTCAACAGTGCAGGATCCATTCCTGCAGACCAAAGAGACAGAGTGCACAGTACACAAACCATTGAAAGATGGCGCCAAATGTGGCCGGAAGCACAGGGATTGCTGGGATGCGAACCAATGCATCACGAGGCATTGGGACAGGACCCAGGATGCCCCATGACCCCCTCCACCTTCCCACAACTCTTAGCAGCTGAAGAGGAAGAGATGATCTGTGGGATATCTGCCCAGAGTGCACCGCTCCAAATATCAATGCAAGTGCTGCAAATGTGAACACGCTATTGTGCAGGCAGCTGACAGTGTGAACACACAACAGTGGTTTCCCTTCAGTGCTCTCTGGATGGCGATGTAACTCTGTCAGTGTAAACATACCCTTAGTTTTGCTTATATTGAGGAAATACTAATATAACATCAAAACCTGCAATTGAAGATGTTACTCAGTTTTTAATCACGCAAAATTGTCATTGATTTCAGTGGGATATTTCCTAGGTAAAGATCGAGTAAACTGAGTAAGGATGTCAGGATTTGGCCCATGTTTTGCTAATAATACGATAAAACAGTTATAGTCAAGCCAATTTTCCTCTTGCTCGCACCAAAATATATCAGGAGAGATGCCAGTGTAAAATTAATGTAAGCGAACAGAGAATCAGTCTCATCATTCTTAAAAGAATACAGTACTCTCACAGATCTTGGGAGACAGACCAGTCCTCACTTACAGACAGCCCCCTAACCTGAAGCAAATACTCATCAGCAACCACACACCACGTAACAAAAACATTAACCCAGGAACCTATCTGTGCAACAAAGCCTGATGCCAACTCTGTCCACATATCTATTCAAGTGACACCATCACTGGACCTAATTACATCAGCCACGCCATCAGGGGCTCGTTCACCTGCACATCTACCAATGTGATATATGCCATCATGTGCCAGCAATGCCCCTCTGCCATGTACATTGGCCAAACCAGACAGTCTCTACGCAAAAGAATAAACGGACACAAATCTGACATCAGGAATCATAACACTCAAAAACCAGTAGGAGAACACTTCAACCTCTCTGGCTACTCAGTAACAGACCTGAAGGTGGCAATTTTGCAAGAGAAAGACTTCAAAAACAGACTCCAAGGAGAAACTGCTGAGCTTGAATTGATTTGCAAATTAAATATCATTAACTCTGTCTTGAACAGAGACTGGGAATGGCTGAGTCATTACACTACTTGAATCTATTTCCTTATGATAACTATCCTTACACCTCCTGTCAACTGTCTGTAATTGACCATCTTGATTATCACTACAAAAGTTTTTTTTTCCTGCTGATAATAGGTCATCTTAATTAATTAGCCTCTTAGAGCTGGTATGGCATCTGTATATATATACTCTTATTATATGTTCCATTCTATGCATCCGATGAAGTGGGCTGTAGCCCACGAAAGCTTATGCTCAAATAAATTTGTTAGTCTCTAAGGTGCCACAAGTACTCCTGTTCTTTTTACGGATACAGAGTAACACAGCTGCTACTCCGAAACAGTACATAGAGAATTCATACATGCTTTTGAGACAACAAAATGCTACATTAGAAAGTGCTTATTATATTGCATAGGCATTGAGTCATTGCAATTGCTATTTTCTGTAATTTTGTTGTCAAATTCCCTAGGGTCATTTGTCTGACATGTTAAACATTTGTCTTACATTCTGACAGGCCAGTCTGATCCCTCTAGTTTTTTTTTTTTTTTTTTTTTTTCCCCATGCTGAATGGAAGCATCATTAGTATCCAGCATACAACTCTTCAAATAAACAGGCAAAATGTCAACTGATATATAATTTCTAAAACAAATGTAGCTATTGGCAGGATTTACAACTTTGATCCCCAAAATTCTAAGGTTAGTGCCTTGCAGATTAATACAGCAATGCGGTAAATGCACTTTAGCAGCAATTATTTTGTATACTGTATGGCCTTCCATACTACTTCACTTAACCAGCAGCTTATCCTCAAGCTCCCATATAAAGGAGTTGGTACTGTTTAGAAACCAAATGTTTAAACATCAATTTCTGTCACACTCTAGGTGTGATTGCATAGTTAGCACAGTGCAATATACTGGTGTCATTGTCACAGCAGGTAGGGGAGCAGTGATTAGTACTCTCTCTCTTTCCCTATAGGAATTGCAGCAATCCTTCTTCTGCTTAAGGGGAAAGGTCAAGAGATAGCTCCTTTCTCTGATGCCTAGTGGGGAAGGAAAAACCAAGATAACACTTCCTTGGCCACTCTGGATAGACATAGGGGAAGGATAAAGAAGAAACCAAATCTAAATCCAAAACGCAACAGACCAGATCTTGGCAGAAAGACAATCAACACCTAGCACCCTATGTAGTAATATATAGGAAGACTTTATGGAGAATTTGAGAGACAAAGTGGGTGAAGTAATATATTTTATTGGACCAACTTCTGTTGGTGAAACAAGCTTTCAAGCTACACAGAGCACTTCTTCACATACCTTGTCTTTCTAATGTCCTGGGACCAAGACACTATAACAACACTGCACACATTTATGGAGGATTAGGCAGAACAGTTTGAAGTTTTAGCAAGTGAATAATGAAGAGTTTTTGTCAGATAAAGTTCTGCTTCTAAAATAGTAGATGTTCCTCATAATTTGTACATATACAGTGTCACCAGTTAACACTAGTAGAACCAAGTTGCATACTTCTTTGTGCAGCTTCTAATTAAGATCTCACAAACACAGAGAAGTTCAGGTCTGAGGCTGACAGTAAAACCCCAACCTAGATCACCCTCCACCCTCTGGGTGTTGGCTGTCAGATTACACAGGATGAACATGGCATGGCCTCTTGGCAATACTAATCCAAGGTATGGGTTGCCACAGTGCCAATTTCTTCCTAGCTATCCACTTCCCTACCTGGCCAGTCCTCTTCTGTCACTAGAACTCCAAGCTCAGGCTCTTTTGAGCTGGCTACATAGAGAATTATCCAGCCCTGACCTCCCCACTTTGCTGTT